GAACTTTCTGTCTTCTTTTGGATTATTGGTATTAGAGTTAAAAAGAACAGCAAGAAATAAGGCACTTTATTCACAAAATGTTTTAAGTACAATATTCCTCTCTTATTAACAATAATATTGGTGTCATTTTACAGAAGTCTGTATTTACAGAACAAACAGTAGGGGGCAATTAAAGCATTGTTTAGGTAGCAAAGTTTTAACAGAATTAATTCATTAAATGATATGATATTGTCGTTTCTTCAATATATATTTTTTTCACATGCACCTTGCATTTTTGAATCAGGTCTTTGGCATGGCTGCGATTTTCAAACCATTTCTATGTTATTGGGTATTACATATTATATCTGTCCCATATATATCTTCCTTCTTTTTTTACTTTTTTATTATTACTTTTTTGTTAGTCCTCACCCGAAGATATTTTTCCATTGATTTTTAGAAAGAGTGGAAGGAAAGGAGAGAGAGAAACATTGATTGGTTGCCTCCCACATTTGCCCTAACCTAGGGCCGGGAATTGAGCTTCAAGGAGGTACGTGCCCTTGACCGGAATTGAACCTGGCAGCCTTCAGTCCACAAACTGAGGCTCTATCTACTAAGATGTTCTACCACCTCAATTACAGTTTATTTTTTTGTGCAAAGTAGTTTTCTTTATGCCTGGGTCCTATGGATTTAAAAATTTATGTCAGTGGAAATGTAGCCATTTCGTTTTTATTTGGAGCAGAAGTGGGTTTGGCTCAGTGGATAGAGCATCAGCCCTTGGACTGAAGGGTCCCGGGCATGTATTTCATATCTCGGTTGCAGTCTTATTTGGGAGGCAACCAATGTGTGTGTCTCACATCCATGCTTCTCTCTGTCTGTCTTTCCCCTTCCCTTCCACTTTCTCTAAAAATCGATGGGAAAATATCCTCAGGTGAGGATTAACAAAATAAAAATTTAAAAGTGTATTTTTCTTTTTATTGCAGAAATGATATAATACATAAATGAGAAAGTACAGTGAAAAGCAGAAAGAAGAAAAGGCCACTGCTGATTTTCCCTAGAGAGAACATTTTGTTTATTCTTCCAGATTTTTTTATACATGTACACAATACACAGAGTTACTTTATGAAAATGAGATCATATATTTACATATAGATGACTTTTCCCATAACATTAAATTACATTTGAGCTTTCTGTTCTTACATGTAAACCAGTGATCCCATTTTGGTGATATCTTGGTTGCAGCCTTTCTCTTTTATCTTACTTACGGCTGCCTGGAACATTATCCTGGTTACATTAATGCTCGTCCCTTTCCTCTTTCGGGCCCACTTGGAAAAGTTGAAAGGAGCAGGTGCGATCTCAGCTAGGCCTTGAAGCAATGAGAGTAGACATAATTCTTGTATGCAGAATGAGGAGGAGGAGGACATTTCAGGAGAAGGAGAGGGGAAATTAGCATGGGTTTGGATGCCAGGGTAGGAATGGTCTGTACATCCACAGTCAGCAAGGAGACTGGACAAAAGGATTTAGATGAGTCTGGGCAATAGTGTCCCTTCAGTGTTTTAGGGCCGATATTTCGCATCCCTG